GCTTCTGATATATTTACTCAATGGAGTATTACTCAGTGATTAAAAAACAAACAAACAAAAACCAGAAAAACAATGACCTCATGAAATTTGCAAATGGATGGAACTAGGAAAAAATCATCGTGAGTGAGGTATCTCAGACCTAGAAAGACAAACATGGTATCTACTCACTCATGAGTGGATATTAGATGTAAAGGTAACAAGGAGGACCCTAAGAGGGATGCATGGATCTCCCTGGGAAGAGGAAACAGATGAGATCTCCTGTGTAAACTGGGGGTGGTGGGGGAAGGGGAGGGCGTGGGGGTAGAGGGGAGGGGGTGGAAGATGGGAACATGAGGGATCAGGATGGTCAAGTTGGAGGCAGGGCAGAGGGGAGAATAATGAAAGAGATGTCTTGATAGTCATTATGGGTTAGGGAGAAACCTGGTGACAGGGAAACTCTCAGGAACTCACAAGGATGGCCCCAGCTAGGACTCCTCCAATAGTTGAGAGGGTGCCTGAACTGGCCTTGCCCTGTAATGAGACTAATGACTACCCTAATTGCCAACCTAGAGCCTTTATCCAGTAACTGATGGAAACAGATGCAGAGATGCACAGCCAAGCACTGGGCGGAGCTCTGGGAGTTCAGTTGAAGAGCAAGGATGTCAAGGTCATGACAGGGAACTCACAGACTCTGGACACTCAGCTAAAGCTCCAGCATGGTACTGACCTAGGTCCTCTGCATCTGGATGACCATTGTGCAGCTTGGTCTTTTGTGGGGCCCCTGGCAGTGGGACCAGGACCTGTCCCTGATGTATGAGCTGGCTCTTTGGAAGCTATTTCCTATGGTGGGATGCCTCATCCAGCCTAGATGCAAAGGGGGAGGAGCTTGGTCCTGCCTCAATTTGATATGCCATGCTTTGTTGACCCCCTGAGAGGCTTTACCCCTTCTGAATGGAAACGGAGGAGGAGTGGATGGGGGTGGGTAGAAGGGAGGTGGGGTGAGGGAACAGGCAGAAGGGAGGGAGGGGAAACTGTGGTTGATATGTAAAATAAATTTTAAAAAATCACTGAGGACACCCGGCATTGGTGGCTCACACCTTTAATCCCAGCACTTGGGAGGCAGAGGCAGGCAGATCTCTGTGAGTTCGAGGCCAGCCTAGTCTCCACAGCGAGTGACAGGAACGGCTCCAAAGCTACACAGAGAAACCCTGTCTCGAACCCCCCCCCAAAAAAAAAATCACTGAGGACTCTGGGATGCTTTACAAGGATTATTGATACACAATAATTTTAAAAGATTAAAAATATCAAATCTAATGCAATAGAAGAAAGAGGTCTGTCTCCACAAATGTATGTGGGGAAAAAAAACAATGACAAAAAGTCCCTTATTACATTTACAAGTACTAACAATAATAGTTATGTCTAGACCATATGTAATCGTCTCAGGATAACCCCAAAGTGTTATTTTTTTAATTGCTCAAAGTACTACTCATTGAATTTATCTTGAAGTCTCTCAATTTTAATACCTTTTTCATAAAAATACATACCATACATATAACTTAGCAGCAAGCATCCTCATGACTCCAGTTTCTTTATATGCTCTGTATTTTCTGCAGATTGGATGTCTCTCTTTTCTGTAAATTCAGGCTCTCCTTGCCCCATCGTTCACAGGGAAATTGCTGGTGGCAGCCTTCCTGTGGCATCAACGGCACTGACAGATGATCTTATCTGGAGGAAGGTTTCTGAGAAATTTTAAAAATAAAAACTTGCAAACCATATAGCCTACAATCATCAGGAAAGAAGAAAAAGTAGGTCATAAATATAGAATAACCTTTTTAAAAATTACTGCAAATTGTGCTTAGCCTAGTAGAAAATTTATTAACACTTGTTCACTTACAGGCTATGCATGGTTTTTCATAATCAAGAAAAATGTGAACAAATGTAAAGATCCAATTTTAAATCACAACCACATAAAAGTGACAATAGTACAGTCTGCAGAGCCAATGTTGTAGCCACTTCACACTGACCATCCTCGTAGGGACAGTTACTTCTCAGTTGCAGACGCCAGAAAAATAATCTTTCATGGTCCTCTGGAATTTTCTACCGGCTATAATCCACACCAAAAAAAATTGTTTTTGTTTTTTTTTGGATTGTTTATTATCAGTTTGGCTTCAGATTAGCAGCAGGCTATTAGCAGTTGCATTCTGGAGAAGCAAAAGGGTCAGTACCCCTAACTTTAGTATTGTTGAAGAGTCAATTATATTTCCTCAATTGCTCATGCATAATACACCAAAGTAGTTTTGTAATTGCTAATCTGTGCCACTGTGAGAAGACAACTCTGCAACTAGAGCTCAATAGACTCACGGTTCTTAGCAATGCTTTGGTCGTCAAAGGACTGTGGCCCCATAAGGTCAAATAGCCTAGTGATGCAGTAGCCATCTTATATTGCATACTCTCTGGTATCTGTACAATGATAGAATTGTCTAATGGTGAGTATTTCTAATGGCATCCAATGTTAAGTGATGTATTGCTGTACTTACAGACGTAACCCGAAAGTAGCAGTGGTAGGTTGGGGGTTGGGGAGAGTGATGTAGCAAGGGACTGAGAAAGACACCTGATGTCAACCTCTGATTTCCACATGCATGTGCACCAGAACATGTGTACACACATACATGTGAATATGTCTACATATGCATATGCCACCTATACATACCAAAGGAATTTCTAAAGTCTGGCAACAATAAGTGTCCTTGAGGCCTCGAAGCAACTGGAACCTCAAACTACTGCAGAGAGTGCAAACCAGAGCCCTTGCCTGTTCTCGGACCCAGACAGTTCATCTTCAGACATGTAACCAAGAGATGCTGACATCCACAAAGGAGGGTGCAAGAACATGGAAGCTGTATTCAGAAAGGTCCCAATCAGGAAACAGCTCTGATCACTATGAATGGGTGCACTATGACGACACACTCTTATGGCTGAATACATTCCAGCAGTACAAGCAAAGGCACCAATGCTCCCTCACAATGTGGGTGAACCACACAGCAGACCTTCATGCATGACAGGTGAATTGATAGGGTGCTGACTGAGGAGGGGCTCAGAGAGCACCACTGGCGTGCTGGGCATGGTTTTGGTTGATTCGGGTAGAGTTTATATATGTAGAGAGTCTACATGATACAAAAACTCATCAACCTATACATAAGGTTTACACTCATCTTTTATGATTTGGATATGAATGTCACCTCAAAAGGCTCATGTGTTGAAGGCTTAGCCCCCAGCTGGTGGCACTACTGAGAGGTGATTGGGTTATGAGAATGGTAGCTTAATCAATTGGTGGATCCATTGATGAGTTGCTAGCTGAAGGAAGCAGAACCTAGTCGGAGGAAGAAGGCCTCAGGGAATGCCTTTCGAGGGGTGTCTTGTCCCCAGCCCCATCTCTCTCTCTTTCCTCCTGTGCTATGTATGAGTTCAGCAGCCTCCTCTGTCACTGTCACCACCTCTTCATAGGCTCTCAGCAGTGGGACAAAGCTGAGCAGGACCATAACCCTGAGACTGTGCCAAAGCAAACCTTTGCTCCCTTTAAATGGCTTCCTCAGGGGGTTTGATCACAGTGACAAATGGCTGATTAATATACATCTCGCAGGAATGTTTCTTCTCTGAAAGGTAACACCAAAGGAGGAGGAATATGAAAATTCATAAAAATTTAAGTGCTATGAAGACATTTGAAGTGATATGATGAATGGATGCCAGCTGCCTGACCAAGCTGAGACCTGAAGGAAATGAACCATGCACCTGGTAAGTGTAGGCACTACTTTCTGGACAAGGAGAGCGAGTGCAAAGGCCCTGGGGCAGGATCCAGTCTAGGAGGAGCGCAGTCAGGGCCAGCACAGAGAGGGAGCAGGTATGTGGAAGGAAGCCTGACTAGGAGAAGCCCTTGATTTGGCTTTTTGTTTGGAAAACTATAAAGTAGAAGAAGCAGCAGGGCCTCTGGGGCTTGGAAATGGGGATGGAGGGGGAGACTTTGGGGACTTCCACGGTGAACACACCAGGTGGGCTGGTTGTCCATCTGTGGATGCGGGCAGAGGCCGTGGAAGCCAGTGTGCTTGGTCACCAGTGGAGGTTCAGCAGCAGCCTGACAGAGCTCTTGGGAATGCAGCAAGCTGGACAAGGTTAAAGGTGAAACTGAGTCTCAGGATTGGAAGAGAGTGCCTGCAAGAATGAGGGAGCAAGAGAGGACATGCAGTCAAAGACTTTTCTGGAAAGGGTCTAGGGCAGTCAGGGGCTTTGGTGGAAAGTGCATTAAAGGTGCTGTGTTAGCCTGCACTACAGCAAGGAACTTTAACTCGTCCTCCCCACCCAGCTGAGAACTCAAGTGGGAAGCTCTGAGCTGAGTCTTCCATGCACACTGCTGGGCCACTCAAGAGTCCTGGGCACAGTGGCCCCAAGGCATTTGCCATGCTCAAGGTCCCTGGGTGAGGCTTCTGTTTCTTGGGAAACCTGGAAAGTTCTCACTTCCAGTGACCCAGGAATACATGCGAATGCTGTGTAGTGGGGGGGGGCAGAAAACAGAGAGGGCAGAGACAGAGAGAGGAAAGGAAAACGAAATAGAGAGGTAGAAAGAAATAAAAAGCAATTTTCCCCATTCCTCTCCAGGGTGGGGCTGTTTGGTAGTTCAGGACAGCAGGTCTCTCTCTCTCTCTCTCTCTCTCTCTCTCCCTCCCTCTGCCCTC